TGATACCAGGATATAAGCAAATAAGCAAGAAAAAAGGAGAGATCTAAAGAATACAATTTGCTTCTTACTTGTAATATTGCTAAGTATCATCCTATCTGTTCAGTAATGTTTATCTCTAAAATAAGTCTTTTTACTTTGAGCTCTCTCAAAAGCTCCCTGTCTCAAAAACTCCCTGTTAAGGATACTAACCTTTGGAACCAGCAGGTGGCATGGTGGTTAAGAGTGCTGGATTCCCACATGGTTGACCATGGTTTGAGTCCCAGACCTGGCGGCTTGCTTTTTCTCTCTCTCTCTCTGTCCCTTTCTGGTAAAATTAAAATTAATTAATTAATTAATTCTAAAAAAAAAATGACTAACCTTTAAAAGTAATTGAATTTGGACCAGCTTGTGTTGTGTTGGTTAAGGCAACTGGGTCCAACATGGTCAACCACACAACTCTAGTCCTGAACCCGGCAGCTTGAGAAACATGCTGAATGCATGTGTGTACATGCCCGAAATCCTAGAAAGGAAGGAGAAACGAAGAAAAAAGACATTGTAAGCTAACCATTTCCCATGGGGAAAAGGGTGTTTTCTCATTTTTCACCTCTCTCTCTCTCTTTGCAGCAAATGTATATGCCCTTTGGAAAATTACAAAAATAATTTCATATTTTTGTTGTAAAAAATCAAGTTTAAAAATCAAGGTTTCTTAGTTTCTTTCTTTCTTTTTTTTCTAAGATCCATGCCATTCAGTGAAATATTGGGTTCTCAGTGCCTAGTATCAGTTTTTATTAGGTAGACCTTGCCTTAGTGCATCATTATTGTGAATATTAAAATATGTAACAAATATGTAAAAAGAAAGTAAAGGAAACATGTTTTACACAAATCAAATTACAAATCAAGAAACGATAAAATAGAATATTTTCTTACAGAAAAGTATCTTACAGGAATATTAAATACTAATTAAATTTGACTTTTGGGGAGTATAAAATAGGAAAGTAAAAAATCTATTTACCTATGTATGACAGAGATATGCCAAATTTTCAAGTCTATTTTAAGGTCCATTGAATCATGTTTTTGGTGAGACCTAGCTGCCAAAATAAACTGCACCCTTAGACTTTTGGGTCAGGTACAACAACAGAACCGCGCTCCAAAGATAAAGGGACTGCTTCCTTTATTTCAGAACCACTTAGGGCACAGCGATTAAGGTGACCTAGGAACAGAACACGTCAAAGTCTGGCTCTCAACACACTGCTTTCATGTCATTTCTTCATTTCAGAAACTTGTATTTCCTTTTGTCTTCATGTTATTTTTGGTTTTGAATGAACAGAGAACTTTATATTACATTAGTAAAAAAGAATCAAAGACTCATAACTCAATAGTGATTCATCACCTAGAGAATTTGGAGATAGGATCTTTCCAATTTTAAATAAGTTTCTTAAAGCCCACATGAAACAAAAGAATGAATTAAAGTGATAATTTACCACATGCTTCTATCCACAGAAGCAAGGAAATTCATGAGATGTAGAGAGTAATTGTTAATATCAATTTTAAAATAGAGTAGATCATGACTTTCTCATTACCATAAAAGAACCTCAATGGTAAATAATAATCTATCCAGAACTTCAGGTTATCTTTTGATATTCACCATTTTAACTGAAATCATTTCACATTTCCAGTTATTGTTTAAAATGAGCAAAGCACCCCCTCCTTTTTTTCTTTTTCAGTTTCTGGATTATTCTGGGAAAATGAGCAATTCAACGCTTACAGTCATCACTGGTCCTTAGAAAAATTATCTGGGAGAGAAAGTTGGCATTACTTTAAAAGTGGATTGGCATAAACACTGAATGGGGGGAAAGTAAGAAAGTGGAGGTAGATATTTAACTGACAAAAAGTCAAAGTAACTTATTTATTGCAAAAAATTCAGTATTGTTTAAATGGTGATGTATAGAAGAATCCTTTTCCTCAAGGAAGTTTTTTTGAACTCTTAAAAATATGCCAGTTTCAGACTTGGCTATAACCAACAATAACTATATAATTAAGCTATAAATTATTTTTACAAACTGTTGTTTTAGGAGGGGGTGGGAAAAATTAAAAACCTTGTATTAGCTCTGGCAACCTTTGGCAAGTATATTCTGGCCTCTTCTTCAAAGTCTTGCCACTTTCTACAGATAATCATAAGAAATAAACCTTTTTTTTAATTTCTCTTTGCAAATTCTAATCAACTTGTATAGGAGGGAAAAGAACAAATACTGTATGTGAAGAGTGGAAGGTAGAAGACTTTATTACTTCAGGATATATATATATATGTGTGTATATATATATATATATATATACGTATATATATATATACACACACAGATACATATACACACACACATACACACACTAACATTACACGTGTAGATATATATATAAATAAGATAAAATCGAGGAAAGTAGAGGAATGCTCTTTCAAATATAATGCACCAGAAAGCAAAAATAATAGAGAGGGTGTTTTTGTGAGCCTGATAAGGTTTACAATATGAACACTGAAAAGTTACGTATGTGTATTATTCCCCATAGTAGGGAAACATTGATTTAATTTTTTCAAGCAGGCAACCCCCCACGACACACAAATTTTCTTTAAAGCACCCAAAAATGATATTTGAACATTATCCTCTTTCTGAATCTTTCTTGACTTCATGAGGTAGACTGTGTGACCCCTCCCACCTTGCTGTAGGCACTACCAAAAAAAAAAAAAAAAAACCGAAAGCCGCCAAAGAAGAAAACAAAACAAACAAAAATAAATAAAGTTATTCAGCCTAGCGAGGCAAGACCTTTAGATTTCTCATTTTCTTTCCCTCTTGATACTTTGGTCCCAAGAAAGAACTGCAGATCCTTATCTCCTAGCCATCCAGCGGCCCCCATCAGCTCAACAGGAAACGGTAGCAAGTGGGACAATCCTGAAGGAAGGCGTCACCCACACGTTCTAAAGTAGTTGGAAGTGCTCGCTAGGATCCGCCAGTAGTCCCCGCCAGTCAACTCCACCGCCCTTTAGAGAAGTCCCAGAAGCTGCCAAGTTTAAAGTGAAACCGGGATGGAAGCACTTTCTCTCCCCTTACCTTGGGGAGTTTGTGGGTTCAGTTCGCTGCAGGCTCTTGACTGGACTTCTCCGACACTCCAATTTTTAACTTCGGGAGACAGAAAACAACAGGGGAAGAAAAGCCTTAGTGGATACTCTCTCGGACTTCAGTGGTCTTCGCTGGTGTATTTCTGCGCAGTGTGCCTTTTGCGTTTTCGTTTTGTTTTGTTTTGGCGAGGCGTCATTCCTCGCAGTCCCTTGCTGCCTGGAGTTTGACTTTTCACCTTTTGAACTCGACCCCGGAATCACCCAGGCTCCGGCGGACAACGCCTGAGCCCCAAACCCCGCGCCACTCGCGGAGCTGAGGGAGGTTGAGCGGCGTAAAGTGCAGTCGCTGCTGCGCTTCTCTGGAATAAAGCGTCTTGAAGAGTGAAGCGGATTCTTAAACCCGGGATTGGACCAGGAGCTCAGGGGGCGGAGAGGAAGAAACAGAGGAGTGGAAGAAGGCGATGGAAGCAGTTTCCCCTTAAAGCACTCAACTTCTCGGGTTCTTCCCCGGAGGAGGCAGATGTGTGAGTCTTCCTTACGCCTGAGTGCACGTGTGCGCGCTTGTAGTGAGCTCGTGGGTGTGCGCGAGTATGCGCGCGTGTGCACCCGCAGAGCAACGGTACAGCCTGGCAGAGCTCGATTTGTAGCAAAATGCAATAGCACCCAGTCTTTGAAGGCCAAGAGCAAATGCCTTTGCCAAGTAGGCCAGGAAGAGGCCTTGGGCTGGTTTCCTTTTATACCCTCCAACTCTTCCCTTCTCTTTGAATTCAGACTGGTGTCTGGGTCAGCCAGAATCCAAGTTGAGAGGGAAGTGCACGCAGAGGCTGAAGAACACATGGTGGTGAACTCCTAAAACGAAGCGAACACGTTTTTTGGGGGGCTCGAGCGAGGGGAAAAAAAAAAAAGCAAAAAGCGTGATTTCACCCGGGGATTCCCTGAAGCATGTCTTGTTTTTACTTATTTGCTTTTCCGTGCTGCATGAACTAGGAATACGGTCAGTGAGAGAAGTGCCTGGAAGTCTTCACTGTGCCTGGAGCAAAGCCAGGCGAGGGCCGCCGGCTGCTCATTCCCCAAGGAACCCTGTCTAGCTTTCTTTCGCGTCACCACTTTCCTGTCTCAGATGTTGTGTTGGTGACTCTTGCGGCCAGGGCTGGGATATGACGACGACCGAGCTTGCTTTCACTCTTGACATACTAAAATGGTCAACTACACCGCTCATAATATCTGATCTGAACTGAACTGATCCCCAAATACAAATGTTCATTTTAGAATTAGTAAATGAACCGCCCCTCACAACTAAGGGGACACTGGAAGTCAGCCTTAGGTGACTGTGACCCCAAGTCAGTAGCTCTCCATCTCAGATTTTCCAGATGTGCTATGACTTCTCCCCTTTGGTTAGCGACAACAAGACGCGGTTGACACTTCTTTATCCTGTAACTTCCGGGAAGGAAGCGATGAACAAATCCCCCTTCTCAAGAGGCTGGGGGTGCTCCTAGAAGTTCTCCTTTATCCTCCAGGTTTTCCGCTTTTTCCCCTCCCCCTGCCTGCAACGCCCCCGCGCCTCCTCTGCCACGGGATTTGCCAGCGCTTTGCTGGCCCACTCCGCGCGCCGGGGGTGAAATAGGTTTGGAACATGTCCAGCCGGGAAGCGTGGGGCTAAGAGCATGCTCCTCCGTCCGAGGCCGGATCTTGCTTGACTCTGGGGTCTGGGCTGCACTGCCGCTCCCGTCACTGCGGCGAGGGCCGGGCTCACGGCCGCGCGCCCGCCGCCACCGCCGCCTCCATGCTGCAGCGCCCGGCGCCGTTCCTCCCGGC